ATGTTAAACTTTCCTAGCAGTCCTTCACAAACAGGGAACAGTCTGTCTATTCTCTCCATCTGTCAGCTGCTGCTGGTTCTTCCTCCTCCTCTTCCTCACACACTGCTGAGTTTGTCCTGGTGGATCATCAGGGCTGCAAAGCCTCACAGATGATGTGCAGCAGTGGCTCCCTCAGTCTGTCCACCGAACAGAGGCAGCAATATAACATAGCTCACATTAACAGTGCAGTGGATCCTGCTTGTGCTGTGATATTCAGGACTGCAAACAGAGCAGCGTCACTGACTTTCAGCCTGTTGTGTTTGTGGATATATGACTGACTTTAATTATCCACAAAATCATCATATTCTCTGTGAGATTAAGGTCAACTATTGAACGGCGTATAAAGTAAAGGCTTTAAAACAAAGTAAACGCTGAAAGTACAAACATCGCTAATGTCACATAACTTTGCCGGCATGTGGCCAACAGTAATGTTTTAATGTTCCTCATTATTAAACATTTGCACATAAATAAGTGACATAATATTCAGAACTTACTTTTGAAAGTTTACTCTTTGGCCGCTCCACTTCCACTTCTTTGAAGTGTCTCCCAGTCCCAGGCTGTGTCCCAATTAAGAGACTGCACGCTTGAAGTACGCATTTTAAGTGCGGTTACGTCACCGCCACGCGACGACGGCTGTCCCAATTCGAAGTGTGCTTCAAATGCATACTCCAAATGCACCTGAACAGCGCGACGAAGCGTATACTGTCCCATTTCACAAGCCTCTCACTTCCGCACTTCTCGTACTTATAGTACGCACCGTACGTAGTACGCGTAGTGCGCGTACTTCAAGCGTGCAGTCTCTTAATTGGGACACAGCCCCAGTGCACTTGTTAGCATGTTTTGGTTCGAGCAACTGGTCCGTCCCGTTATTGTCTCCACAGAAACATTTCCATTGTGTTGTGTGTGCTTTTGCAGTGTTTTTCTTTTTACAAGTGTTTTTCTTTTTGCAGTGTTTTTCTTTGTGCAGCATTTTTCTTTTTGCAGCGTTTTTCTTTGTGCAGCATTTTTCTTTTTGCAGCGTTTTTCTTTGTGCAGTGTTTTTCTTTTTACAAGTGTTTTTCTTTGTGCAGCGTTTTTCTTTGTGCAGCATTTTTCTTTTTGCAGCGTTTTTCTTTTTGCATGTGTTTTTCTTTTTGCAGCATTTTTCTTTTTGCAGCATTTTTCTTTTTGCAGCGTTTTTCTTTTTGCAGCGTTTTTCTTTTTGGATGTGTTTTTCTTTTTGCAGCATTTTTCTTTTTACAAGTGTTTTTCTTTTTGCAGCATTTTTCTTTTTGCAGCATTTTTCTTTTTGCAGCGTTTTTCTTTTTGCAGCATTTTTCTTTTTGCAGCGTTTTTCTTTTTGCAGCGTTTTTCTTTTTGGATGTGTTTTTCTTTTTGCAGCATTTTTCTTTTTACAAGTGTTTTCCTTTTTGCAGCATTTTTCTTTTTGCAAACGTTTTTCTTTTTGCAGCATTTTTCCTTTTGCAAGTGTTTTCTTAAGTTGCAGTCCGTTTGGCCTCTCAGGGCCACCATAGAAAGCCTTTTTTCCCCCTTATAAATGAAGTGACTGCATTTTGTAATTACCCAGGTTATATTTATCCAACATTAAAATGTTTTTCATCTGAAACTTTTTTACTGTGACAAATATGCAAAAAATAACAAATGTACCATCTGTGAGTGTGATACTATGTGGCGTTGCTTCAGCGTTTCACTTATAACGGGATGTGTTGAAATCCCTGAACACACCCAACGCTGGAAAGTGAATCATGTCCGTTCAGCACGCCTGCACAAAGTTTTGCTTAGTCACAATCCAGAGTGACGGCTTCTAATTAAGATAACCAAACTCACAGGAATTCTTTGGATTTAAAAAAAAACCTACTAAAGATTTAAAGAGCAAACTTTTCTTATATGATAAATTATGTGTGTTAATGGTTATTTGCAAAACCTTTTCTTGTTGGTAAGAGTAAATATGACTGTGATGTGCTAAAGGAAAATAATAAAACAGACAATACAGAAGAAGAAAATTTCACGTGTGATTTATTTGCGTGCACAAAAAACAGAAGACCGTAGGTTACAATTAGATGATACACTTTGATGCTTGCTGTTTGGTACAACATAACTTTGTACTAACTTTGAAGCTTTAGATAAATGTTAGCCCAGACACAAAGGTGCCAGGGGTTTTCTGAGAGCTTTCATTGATGACCAGAACATAACACCATCAAACAAAATGCAGCATCAAAAAGAAGTTAATGTTTATGTGACTGTGTCGGAAGTGTGTAGATGCACCTAATGGTGAATGTGAAAGCAATGTTTCACAGTATGTAAGGTATTAGTTTGGTAAATGCATAAAAATAACAATGAAAAACACTTTTATGCACTCAGCTTCACAGTTTTTCAATAACCATATGAAAGAGTCACATTCTCTCATTTAGTAAGCAAGTGTTGCAAAGTATTCTTTCCACCAGACTGTGAATATAAATCCTAGATTTGTGTTCTCAAGTTTTTGTAGCGCTAATTATTGTTTTTAACGTATAGACGTGTTCAATGTCCGGCAAAAAAGTTCGGGAAACAAAAGATCAGAAGAAGAAGTTGCTTTCCAAACAGACTCCAGGCTCTCTTAATCACATCCTTCCTCTTAGCTGTGGGAGAAAAATGTGGAAGTTCATGGCACATATTTAACCTCTGCATCCATGCATACTAACTAAAATTAGACCTGAAAAATTATAAAATAAGTGGAACTGCAATGTGTTTTACAGTCTATAAAAGTTAAACATTTTCACTGTGTCGTCAGCTCCACGAGGCATGAGCGCAAATTTGATTTTAACCCTGGGATAAATTTTAACTGACATTAAAACCTCTGTTTGTTCCGAAGCAAAAGAAAAACTGGTTTGTCACCTTTAAACTGTTCGTTGCGCTCAGCCCGCTTACATCCTCCACAACGCTGTCATTTGTCTCGGATTGATCGATTCTTGCCTAGGCTCCTCTAAGGTGGGCATTTTTCGCTTCTCATGTGCGGTCACGTGAGAGTCTTTTAATTATTGCTTTTGTGCCATAAAGGAAAGCTTTGTCAGCAGTGTGCGTTTTATTTCCATATGCACCCAGACACAATCTAAAGTTACACCCCCCAAAACAAACAAAAACCCACGCATATCGAGGACTTTGTGGTGGCGGAAACCTGAGGTGAAGTCAAAATCGCGCTCGCTCTGTTGCAGGTTCAGCTGTCCGGTCCTGTCTGAGAAAAAAAAAAAACTAAAGAAGATGCGGCGTATGCGCATGCTCATTAACGATGAGCTGACGTCTGACTGGAATCTGATTGGAGATGATTTCAGAAAGAAGCTTTAACACAGCGACCTCCGGTTTCCTCTAATAACGAATTGACATAAAAACAAAGCTCGCGAGTTCAGGCTGACACACTTCAAATACAGGTTGCAATAATTCTAATTCCGGTAATGAATAAGTTAAACAACAGTATCACCACTGGGTTATTACAAGCTCGGTGTAATTATTTGCTATTGAAAACTGAACAACAAGACGGTCGTTTAATTTCAAACTGCACGCGAAAGATTTTAAGTTTCACTTTCGGTTAAATGTTTCGAGCTGAGTATCAAAAAGAGGCGCTTTATTAGAGTTCAAAGCCTCGCTGACGAAACACAAGAAACAAACAAACCAGTTCAATCTGTGAACTGGAAAATAATATTTAGATAATTTTATAGAAAAGGTGACAGCAGCATTATGTTTCCTTTACATTCAGAAACGCTGTTTTCTGGCACACAATGGACGGGCCTCAGAAAGCTCAGTGTCTATTGACAGATTTTAACGATTTGACTATTAACATGTAAACATTATCCTTAAATTCATTGTGTAGCCTGTAAAGGTGCATACTGGTTTAATAAGTATAAAATTGCTCCTTGCACTACTCTCTGTAGTGTAAATCTTATGGCTTTACTTCCTAACTTCTGCTTAGTAAACATGTGAAAACACAACTGTACTTAGGTGACTGTAAATGTCACCTAAATATTAAAGAAAAACAGAATACAAATTTGATTTCATTTGTTAATGTAATAGCAAAGTAAGATGACTCAAATGCAACAGATTTAAACACACAGCACATGTTGTGGCCACAGACAGTAATCTGCTCATTTAGTTTCACAAAGGTTCTAGAAACAAATGAAAGATTATAGTGCTTCAGCATAAATGCAATCCATTATTATTATTATTATTATTATTATTATTATTATTATTATTATTATTAAGTCTATATGTAAGCTGATAGAAACAATAGTTTCACTCTATCCACGACCACTTATCCCTGTGTTATTTATTATTAAATTTAACTGAATTTTATTTTTTATTTTTCAATATGTATCTTTTAGTGTTGAAAAGATGAAAAAAAAATTAAGACCATTATGTGTGTTATTGACGTGACATAATTTTTACATCTCACTGTTATGCTCCAGCAGCTGGAATTTGTCCACTAATGTCATTTTAGGTCATTCATAATTAAACCAATAAGGTCAGAATTACAAAAACTAACAGAACAAGAAAAAACAAACTCACGCCTGAAGCCTTAAAACTCACAAAACTACAAAATATTCAGAGCACAAACCACTGTACTGACATGTAAAATAATTAGCCTACATCTTTTACATGGCTCTTTATTGCTAAACACACACACACACACACACACACACACACACACACACACACACACTACACTAAAACTTTTGTTTTGTTCCTTTATTTTGTGTTTTTGACTTAACTGGGCTCAGGAAAAATCCCTCCCATATTATTTTGGGAGCAGAAACTCTTCTCGTGTAAGGTGCAGTTTGATCCACTCACTGATGGTTTTGGATGAACGTGGCTGTGTCCGTGTGGCCATTGCCGCGCGCGAGCTGCTCGGCGGTGAGTCCGTCATTGTTGCGTACGCCGCGATTCTCGGTGTATCCAATGAGCAGCCTGACAACCTCCAGGTGACCCCTACTGGCGGCCAGGTGCAGCGGAAGGTTACCTTCATATGGAGTTATAGGTCAATAAAAACCAGGTGCGAGAAGAAAACAAAACAGAAGTAAATCAAATCATTTAATTCCGTACCTCTTTCATCTGCGATGTTAACGTCGGCCCCATAGTTTAGCAGCACGCGCACAGAATCCACGAATCCTTCACGAGCGGCATCGTGGGTCACGGTGAGACCGCAGGAGGGATCTGGCACATTTGGATTTGCCCCCGCTTGCAGCAGAGTCTCAATGACCCGGGAGTCCCCCAACTTCACTACCTGCACACACACAGCATGGAGGGAGAGAGAGGATGGATGCGGGAGATAATTTAGGAGAAGAAGAAGCTTTAAGGAGCTGCCCAGGGTGTGCCTGGCGATTATCATTTTTATATTTAAATATTAAATTCATCCCATGACACCAAATCCCAATTTAATGCATTTAATTCTCAATAAATGTATTGCTATTAATTCATTGGCCCCGCATTGGCCCCGCCTCTCCTCCTGACGTTTCTTGTCGTCACAGGGAAAATCTGCGCCTGCCATTGGACAGCAGCATCAGCGGACCTGTTTCTATTGGTGGCAGACAGGTAAGGACTGCGTCATACAGATAGGTGAAAAACATCTTCACCAGCTCGTCTGGACTCGTGCATGTCAGCATGTATGAATTTCAAAGTTACTATGCATAATTATGAACTCGCGAGCACACGATATGTTGGATGAGCGGTCAACGAGGAGGAGCTTCCTCTCTGAGTGGACCGTTCAGCTGTAGGCCTGCACCCAATATGATCGTTCATATTAAACCTCGTGTGACACGCAGACAGTGCACGAGCAAAAACAACAACAAAAAAGCACGTTTAAAATCAGATCCAAGCAGGGCACGGGCTGCTAATCTGGCAAACCGGGCATTTTTCACGTTGGGCTGACGGACTTTTGGTTCGCTGCGCGCAGGCCTAACAAGCACTGACAGCAGCCCATTGGTTCATTTTCATGAGACTGGAGTTCCCACTTAAATGTCTTCGCTACCTCCGCTAAAAACAGGCCTTCTGGTCAAACTGCTGCACATGATTATTTGCCTTTCTGAACAGGTTTGCTCTTAAAGGTAACTCCATCCTGGAAGAATTAATTTTAATCAAGCAAGCAAGCAATTAAACTAGATATGTATGGATTTCAAAATCTTGTTTGGTTTTCAAATGTAATTTTTTCAGTGATATCATCTTTAATAGCAGGAAATTAATTAAGCATCGAATTGTTGTTTTTTTCTTCATTTTTTCAATATTTTTCTAGTAACTTATATTTGACACGAGCATAAAAAATGGAAAATTCTGTTTTTGTAGTGTCAAGAGATTTATTCTAAAGACACTTCTTCAGCTTAGAGTCAGAGAGTAGAAACACACACGCTGCAGTTTTTACTTGCAGGGCAGAGCGCTCACACCAAAGTGGGGGCCCTGTGATGTGCATGCTCTGTTCTTGCACTTGTCTTTATTTATACACAAGAAAGAAAAGTAATACAATAATGAATACATTTGTTCAGTGGAATGTTGATACGCGAGCATGTGCGTATGTGATTGTGCGTGTGTGTTAGAATGTGGGAAGCAGCCCTTTTTCCTTTTTCCTTGTTTGCTGTAGACATGGGCGGGTCCTTTGTCTGTGTGCCTCATGCTTCACGACTCTGCTTTCTTTTCTGTGCCCTACTTTATGATGAAATGCAGCTGCTACTTAAAAAGTTATCACTAAAACAAACAAAAACAAAACTCAGACTAAGACTTTTTTTCCCCAAACATGGTGTTGGATAGATACATAAAGGATCTGTTCAGACCTCTGCCCACAACCATAAACCAGTAAATACTTATTCTTTATTTTCCGCTTCTTGTAAAATTAAGAGACTTGAACAATTTATATATTTTGTCCTAAAGCAAAAAATGTACATCTGAATAAATCCAGGTTCTTTTTAACAGCTAACACCCTCACTCACCATTTCCTTAACACCACCATTTTGCTGCTCCTCAGCTCCATTGACAATTTCAGACTTTAATGTTGTCTCGGATTTGCTGATTTCTCTTAATTACAATAATATGAACACAAGTTTATTCTTTACTTCATGTGATAAAAAAAAAAAAACTACAGCTCTTTCTGAGTCAAGTACAAAATCTGCATTTGAAAAAGAAATTGTGAAACTATTTTTTTTCTTTCTTTTTGCTTTACATCCTCTCTGTGTAAATGGATGCGTTTGTAGAATCTGTTGATTTTGATCTGACAGAATCTGCTATAGGATTGTGTTAAATAAATATATATAAGAAGAACAGAATAGCTTTATTCATATTGTACATGTACAACATAATGGGGGCTCTCCACACCAGCTGTACATAGAATAAAAATAGAAATACTACACCAAGAAAAAAGACAGACAAGAGGAGGAAGATGCAATAGAGGACAAGATACGCAAGAAAAGCTGTACTGTGAAAGCACAACTGTGAAACTAAGGAAGTGATAACAGAACATCTTATTACTCCATAAAACACACTCATGCACATACATATGTATTTATATTAATCTATAAATGTATTAAAATCTGATAGTAAATCATGAATTTCAGCTTTTTAGACTTTTGGTAAACTGTTCATCTTTTTCACTACACTTAAATCTATTTTGGAGAGTCCAAACTTATAACTGCCACATACAGATTTCTGCACTTCAAAAAATATTTACATCGATCTGAGACGATTGTATTCAGTATAATGATGACATTATCGAAGCTGGTGGATATTTGAAGAGTACATGTGAGGAGGCCTCAGCCTCTAACACAAAGCACTAAAACAAGGAAGTAAATCAAGCTGCTAGCAAGCAAAACAGACTGAAATCGTCCAAATATGTTTAAAATCACTTTGGAAAAAAGCCAGTTCAAACGGTTTTTATTACTTACCTGTATTGCAGTCCTATTAAACACATTTTTAATATTTACATCAGCTCCATTTTGCAGTAAAGTTATGATTTCTAATAGATTTCCAGTTGCACAGGCATTGCAGAGTTGGTCAGAGAGACTCATATCAGGTGTCCCTTTAAAACGCAATACAAAGCAAACTTATCACCTAAAATTTTTCTGTAGGCTGTGTTGAAGACTGAAATAATCCGGGAGGGTGGACTGGCCAAATACAGAAATCTGAAACATGTCCCTCCCACCCTTACATCATCCTTGACTGTGCAGCTCAAGCTGTTACTGAACAAGAATTAGACAAAATTAGTCACTTCAAATTCAAATATTAGAAGTGACTAATTATATCTCGATTTTGTTTTGAGCTGTATTCAGCTCAGTGGCTTCCCCGTGGGTTCAGTGTTTATTTTGACACACGGCAGAGCTGGAGATTTATTGCACATCTGGTTTTTGACAAGTTACCCCTAAACTAATTATTCTGAAATTTAAAAATATATCATTAGGTGCAGTCCTTATGTATAAAACTAAAAATATCTTATACCCCCTTACATTGTTTTATTTTTGTCTGTTTGTTTGTTTGATTTTTTTTTTTTTAGAACTGGGAAAGCAAAATTAAGAAAATATATGACTGGAGATAGGACTAATTCATTAGTTTTATTATGATGAAACTGGATGAAACAAGCGATATCTTGCGCAAGGATATTTGGCATATACCAAATATCCTTGCGCAAGATATCAACTCCAAGTTGTATCGATCAGAATACAAAACACCATGTGTGTGCATGGTAGTTAGAAAGCACTTAAAAAGCATAGAAGATAGTGCTTGTGTGAATGGGTGAATGTGTGAATGCGGCGTGTTGTATAGAGCGCTTCGAGTACTCCGGTAGAGTACAATCAACACTGATTACATGTTTACAGCTTCTATTTGACCATGTTATGCTTGTCCAGCAGCAAAATAAATGATGCCTCTCCCACCCTTCCCGAGATACTGATATACTCCATGTAGGTCATAATTAGAATATTCAAATAAAATAATATTACAGATTTTGCCTATTTTTCCTGCTCCCCTGCTGATTTTCCTGCGTGACATTTTATTGATGTGATGTTTGAGCCTGTTTATGGAAAAAGCTGCATGGAGCCTTTTCACAATATCTATATGTCAGGGATACAGTAAGCCGCCTGCACCCTGAAAAACGGAACCAAAGCCAGAACTGTGACAATGATGTCTGAATAACAAAAAGCAAGCAAAAACACAAAATAATTAAATAGATAAATATAAAAACTTACGTCAAATGAGATTAAAACCGTAGCACACCTTCCTCCTGCTGTTCAGTGCGTGGCATCACATTTTCCAAACGACTCGAGCTGAAAATCCCCCCGAAAAACAGCCAAAAAAGAAAGAAAGAAAGAAAGAAAAAAAGAAAGAAAGAAAGAAAGAAAAAATCAAATGTCGCCTCCACGCGTGATTTCAAGCATGTGATGCATTTACTGGCAGTTCCCGCTCGTTTTCAAAAGTAATTCGAGTTTGTATTTCCGTTTTTAACCTGTTACAGGATGAAAGAGGGAGCGAGACGCGGGGATGACTTTCGTTAGAAACGTCGCGCAGTCACCGTGAGGCGAGCCTCCTCTCAGTTTAAAAAAGCCTCTCGGATGAATCCAGAGCTCGTGAAGATCAGAGGTTCTTTCCAAAGAGGAGGAGACGGCCTGATTGGACGGTTCCTCATCGGCTCATAGGCGGGACGGTTAACGGAACTTCATAACACCGTAATAATGGTGGTGCCTTCATTCATTGTCCATGTGAATGTTTTGAAACGTCGACGCGCTGGCGCAGACGATGCGCGCCTTTTATTACGACATTACAGATGCGGAGCAAGAGCTCTATTTCTTTTTTGTCACGTCACGGCCTGCGTGCTTTTAGTTTCTTTGTCTTTGCCGCCCTCTCCTGTAACAAGCTGTGCATCTACGGTCACCTCATTTGGTGGGACAGTTATTGCGGATCAGCAGCTTTTGAAATACTCAGACCAGCCCGTCTGGCGAGTGTTGCCAACTTAGCGACTTTGTCGCTATATTTAGCGAGTTTTCAGAGCCCCTTAGCGACTTTTTTTTCTAAAAAGCGACTAGCGACAAATCTGGCGACTTTTTCTGGTGTTACTGGAGACTTATTTATGACGACTTTTTGACGTGAAAGCGCGTATCGCTTTCACTCTCAACAAGCAGCGGTGCTGCCGTGGGCACCTCGCCCGTTCCAAAGCGCTCACGGGCGGAGGATGGTCCTCCCCCAGCTCAACACGCTATCAGGGCAGGAGATGTTCACACCCGTGCGTCCAAACTGCAAATGAATCGCTTATGAGCAAAGTCGCTGCTCCGCACTGACTGTAACACAGTCTGTTCTTCTTTTACTGTTATGCTGTTTTGTGGATCACAAGGTTTAAAACTACTTATAAACACACATAGCCTACACACAAATTAACTCCACCAGAGTGCCAATCTCGGGTCACTTTTGCCGGTCCAGGCCCGGATAAAGGAGCAGGGTTGGAATTGTGACATTATTAAAAAATAATAATTGTAATAAATTAAAGAAATTTAATAATAATTTGTAGTTCTAAATAAATTCTAAATTCGTTTAAGACGTTTTTTACTCACCTTATGTCTCTTCCACGATGTTATTCCTCTCTCCAACAACGCAGGTTACAATTACATTAGCATGACCAATTATGCAAATTAGGCGATGACGTCATTTAGCGACTTCTAGCGACTTTTAGCACAGCCAATAGCGATTTTCCTTACTGAGGAGTTGGCAACACTGCGTCTAGCACCAACAATCACAACGCATTCAAAGTGACTTCATTCATTCAGGTCATCGTAGTCTAAGGAGCTTGCAAAGAAAAGCGTCTGGACTTCTTTAAGTTGCTTGAAGACGTTTCACCTCTCATCCGAGAAGCTTCTTCAGTTCTAAGGTCAAATGGTGGGGAGTCCCAGATTTAAACCTAGTGGGAGTGTCCCCCCACAGGTACTGGTACTTCCCCACATCACATCAACATCACCATCTCTCTGGCCTGTTCACATCTGGGATTTCTCTCATACCTCTCCACAAAATCCAACACATCTGTGCTGTACTCCTGCTCGTGCTTATCTCTGATGTATTTGTGCATCACCAAATGGCCGAATCGCACTTAAGAAATCAAAAAAGCCTAGCAGCTGTTACTGTCTAGATGGAAGTATAACCTCTCTGCAGCATGTAGATGAATGCATCAGCCACTCCCAGATTTGGTTTGTCATACAAACTGACTATTGTGGGGAGATGTGCTGTGTCAGTTGTTTTAAGTGTTTTAGGGCTGAAAGGAGTGTAGTTCATTTGTCCGGAAGTTCTGACTATGCAAATCTGACGGGAAACTGTAGCCAGGCACACCCACACTAACTGGAAGTTACAGTTAAGACAAAAGGTCTTGTTCATAACTGCTCAGGCTATGTTTAGTCCCAGTGACTGCCAGCTGTTTGCAAACAAGGAATGTGAGACATTTGAAAACTTACACAGACTTTAGTCAGATTCAAAGACAGAGCCTTCTCTTTTGGCTCTCAGCGAAGGCGGTCGCACTTTTCTCCTCTCCTGCCCTTATCTTCCCTGCTTAGCTTCTTATGTCCTCCCTATTGTCCACTTAAAATATGTTTACATAACTATTTTTGCATTTGTTGCAATTTCAGCTGTCCTCTTGGCCAGATTTAAAGTCAACAATAACTTTTTTTAACTGCATAAATAAAGGATACATAAAGTCACTGCCAAAAACTGATTGCGGCTTCTACCTTGTTACAGGAATGTTGTTTGTTGCTGGATATTCTGTGGTCTTAGTTTTACTTGACTTGTCTGCTGCTTTTGACACGGTTAATCACAACATTCTTCTATCAAGATTGGAACATGTTGTTGGTCTCAAAGGTACGGTTTTATCTTGGTTTAAATCCTATCTCTCAGAGAGGTCGTTCTCTGTTGCTATGGGGCAACACTCCTCGGCTTCTGCCCCTATTTATTGTGGTGTGCCTCAAGGGTCCGTGCTCGGTCCTGCTCTTTTCTCTTTGTACATGTTGCCGTTGGGATTAATTTTTAGAAAACATAACATCTCCTTTCACTGTTATGCCGATGAGATCCAGATTTATTTACCTTTGAAATCTGATGTGACTGCTTCTTTGCAACCTCTGTTCAACTGTTTGCATGAAGTAAAAATTTGGTTATCACATAATTTTCTTACATTGAACGAGAATAAGACCGAAATCATAGTCTTTGGTAGTCACACTCCGCTAGACCAGTTAGCTGACGCCCTAGGCCCTCTCGCTAGCCATCTTTCGTCCACTGTAAGAAACCTCGGAGTGTTCCTGGATGGCTCTTTTAAACTCGAGAAACAGGTGTCCACTGTGGTAAAAAACAGCTTTTACCTGTTGCGTCAGATTTCCAAAGCAAAGCCGTTCCTTCCTTTAAAAGATCTTGAAAAGCTTATCCACGCATTTATTACATCCAGATTGGACTACTGTAACTCCCTCTACTCGGGCCTCCAACACTCCTCTCTTTGCCGGCTTCAGTTAATTCAAAATGCAGCTGCGCGTCTTTTAACAGGTACGAGAATTCATGAACACATAACTCCAATTTTAGCCAAATTACATTGGCTCCCTGTTAAATATCGTATAGATTTTAAAATTCTTTTGTTCACTTTTAATATTTTGAATAATTTAGCGCCCAGTTATCTTTCTGATTTACTCCATTCATACAATCCCAACAGGGCACTTAGATCATCCAACCATAGGCTCCTAGCACAACCTAGGACTCGAATGAAGTCGAGAGGCGACCGGGCCTTTGCATCCGTGGCACCCAGACTCTGGAATAACCTCCCCGTTCATATTCGCACTGCCGAGTCTATCCAGTCTTTTAAATTACGTCTTAAAACTTATTTTTTTACTTTGGCTTTTGATTCTGTCTAGTTGGCTGTTTTAGCTTGTTGCGTTGTTACCTATTGTTTGTTGTCCTCTTCTATTGTTTGTTTTAACTGTCTCATGTTTTTATTGACTGTGAAGCACTATGGTCAACACTGTTGTTTTTAATATGTGCTATATAAATAAATTTTGATTTGATTTGATTTGAAAATGACATGATATCATTCATGAGGGATACATTTGA